ATGTGTATGTGTATGCGTATGTGCATATACATATGTATATAGGTATTTTCTATTTCTATAAACCTTTATATTTCCATTTCCATTTTATTCTCTAATTTGATGTCTGTTTTTAACTATGATGATAAATATTGGTCTTTATACTTAGGTACTTATTTATCTACGTCTATTGATTTATTTAGCCCTTTCTTTATATTTGTGTTTATACCTATGATTTACAAATAGGGCAAAATGGGGCAGGGCGACGCTTTCTGTCTATGTATATTTTGGCGGCCAGGCTAGGGGTTGAAGGGGTTTACGGGTTTGGGGGGTTTGGGGGTTCAGGGGTTTAGGATTTTAGCGGGTTGGGGGTTTAGGGGTTTGGGGGTACGAGCCATTTTGGCTCAAGGCTCGAGTCCCCCGGTTTGTTGAGTTGAGTCCTTCTTTCGGCATGGCTTCCAATACTTCGGCAGGGTCTGCTACTAGACAGGAAGGTGAGTCCCCGAAGAGAGCTCGTGTCGATGGAGCTATTGTTCCACATGCAGGCGATGATGACCCTGATAAGCAGTTGGACAGGCTACTTGATGAGCAGGAGGGTGCACCAGCATGGGCCCTGGCCATGCAAGCTTCTCTGGACAGGAATCTTCTGAATATCAGTGAGATGTTCTGTGGGGTACATAGCCGGCTTGCAAACCTTGAAGCAGCGAAAGCCGCTCCTCCTCCGGATCCAAAGGTGGCTGAGCTGTCCAAACAAGTTGAGCGGCTAACCAAGCTAGTGGAGAATAGGCAGTCTGAGTCGGCTCCTCCTTCTCCACCTTCTGCGAGCCCTACATCTAGGACATATGCACAGATCCCACCACCTCAGCCTGACCCCTGGAGCAACTACATCGGAAGAGCATCGACTACGACAGAGGGCGTCTCAAGACTCAGCAAAGCTCCAGGTGTGCCTCGCTTCCCTAGTTCAGCTGACGACGACACTGATTACAATCATGTTGTGGTTGGGGGCTGGGAAGAGGACACGGTCAAGAGGCAGATCCAGCAGGACCTAGGGAAACTTCTTGCCACGTTCACCATGGAGTACAAGCGCGCAATCAGTAAGGATATTGTCTACGGGCCCCGCGCTTGCACAGCTCACCTATACCTGCATGCGTTAGAGCCGGTGCAAGCACGAGACCGTTTCTATGCCTTGCAAACCGCCTACAACAAGACAGTCCGCACCGCTTCAGGGAATGAGATGTGGCTTAGCCCAAGCAGGTCGCCTGAGCGAAGATTCCAGAATCGCATCACTGGCGTGGCTGGAAAGTTGATTCTTGCACTCTGGTACAGACGCCCGCGCTCGAGTACAACTACCGACAACAGATTGTGTGGGCCGAGGGAATGAGGGTCGCCGCAGCGTCCCAGGATCACCTTCGTGCCAAGCCATCGCACAAGCTGGTCACGACAGAGTTATCAGATGCATCGGGACAAGGGGCCAGCTATCACTTCAACATCTCTGCATTGAGCAGGCTTACCGGGCTCGATGAGGCCGCAGTCGAAATTAAGTTGCATGAGGAGGCATCTTGACCGAAAAGAAAGATAGGCGGCTTCCAGATTCTGTTTGTTGACTCCTGGAATATCCAAGGCAAAAGCATGGATGTTATCTCGAATCTGTTGGCTCTGGTTGATCCTTGTACAGATGTAATAGCATTACAAGAGGTTGGCGGCACCACACACTTGGAAACTATTGCACCAGAGTTCAGCAGTGATGACTTTCAACTTAAAGAGTATATATTCGCAGACAGTGAGTTACAGGATTATTTCGTTTATGGCACAGAGCAGCTTGATTCATATTTGGGCCAGGTGATCTTATTATCCAAAGATGCTGTGGACTTTATTCATAGCACCTATGCGGGTAGTCGAGTGATTGGTGTCCATTATAGAGATTGCTCAGGTCATGATCGCAGAGTCTTTTCAGTACACTTTCCACACCAGGATGCTTCAGAAGATGCCTTCCACCAAGCAGTACATGAGCTACAGGTGCTGTGCCAAGGGCATCGCAGGGAAGAGGTCGTGCTCATCGGAGATTTCAACGTTGAGCCTAGCACAGATAGAGCCGCTCTTCTCGATGATGCCTTGTCGCATTGCAAATTTCAACAATTCCGGCCTGAGGGCTTCACCCGCTTTGGTCAGCGCAGTGCCTCTGCCCTCCACTTTTCCTACATCAGCGAACCCATCTCCCGGAGATTACTCCCCAACGAGTCCCATATTAAGGTTGTTCAAGGTTCCAGGCGGGAAGTTGGCAGTGATCATGACAAAGATCTGTTTGGAGCTTGTTTTCGGTCAGAGACTCCCTCACTCCAGTAAGCGCCACAAGGATGGACGTCGCCGGGCAAGGGGCAAATGCAGTCGCTGGACGGTCAAGCGCAACATTGGCGCTTCTGTTCAACGTTGCGAGGGCTTCCGCGATCTGGATGTGCATGGCCAATGGGAGCAGTTGAAGCAGTTACAACGTACGTGTAGTTTCCAAACCCCTTCTTGCAAATACAGAGACAGTATTGCTCTCAAGGACATGTGTCGTCAGCGTCGTGAGGAAGTGGATCCCTGTGCAAAGCAGCTCCTGACTCGTGCCATTGTTGCCAAACGTTCCGCCGAGAAGGCTGAATGGTTGCGCTTACTGGAGTCGCGAGCTGCCTCGGGGGATGCTCGTGCTATTCATTACCTCAAGGGGCGCCTGCAACCCAGACATGGCTGGGGTGATCTTATACGCAATTGTGGGGACAGGTCTGCAGCAGCAGAGGCAGAGCGCACTCATTTCCGTGACATTTTGAGCCCCGTGGTGCCTGCGGCCGAACAGGCGGAATGCGCACACCTCCTTCACAAGCTCACTGCAGCAGCTGAGTCCTTGACCCCTGCTCCGTTTACCGACGAAGAGATTTCCAAAGCCGTTCTGCACCTTAAGCCTGGTAAGACCTCGGGCATGACGGGCATTTCTGCAGAACTTGTCCAAGCCTTGTGGCAAGACAGAGATGGCCAAGTCGTCATCTCGTGCTTCTGCAACTCCCTCTTGTCCACTGATGACCCTCCCTCAGACCTGGATGGTGGGTTCGTCGCCTTGCTTCCCAAGGTTGCCCATGTGCAGGCTCCTAGCCAGATCAGGCCCATTCATCTAGTCGAAGTGTGCCAGAAACTCTTCAGTTACTTGCTCATTCAGCGTCTCCAGGGTGTCTGGCATAAGCCCGCGCAGCAGCATGGCGCCTTACGCGGTGGCCAGACGCTAGATGCATTGGCCACAGCACAATGGATCGTTGCAAGCGAGTCCTTCCGCGAGCAGTCTGGACGGGTGTGGCTCAACACAGATATTACTTCTGCGTTCGACAGTCTCAAGCACTCTGCACTGATAAAGTTCATGCTTGAGCACACTCCACATGACCGCTTGCTGGAGGCGCATCGTCTCATTCGGATGGTTTTGAGCCCGACTTTGAACTTTGACTTCCTCAACCAGCAGTGGTCCTCGCGGCAGACCTCGGGAGTCCAGCAAGGGCATTCTCATTCTGCTGTTCTGTTTTCGTTTGTAATAGGGCACATCCTTCATGACGCTTTCCGCGCATGGTCTCGGTGTGGATATTCCAGTACTCTCGGTGACTGGGGATGGCTTTTTGTCGATGACTTGATCCTGTCTTTCGACTCCTGGGGTCAGGCGCGGGCCCTTGTTCCGATGCTGCAGCATGCTTTTTGCGCTGCCGGTCTTTCCTTTTCTGTCAAGAAGTCACAGATTTTGGGAATGCCGGCAACCTTGGAGCAAGGCCGGCAGGAGCAGTGGGAGGGCGATGAGTTCTTATATCAGATTCCCTGGGTGCTATGTACCCGGTATCTCAAGAAGCCTCTTTGCCATTTTGGGGTAGCAGAGTCCTTGACGACCAATCTCATGCCAGGCCTTAGGCAGCGAGCATTTCAAGCGTATCATCAGCTCAAGTCTGTTGTCAAGGGTATGCGCTGGGAATCCCCGCGGTTGACGGTGGCTTTGCTCAATCGGTATGTCGGAGGTACGTTCTTTTGGTATACTCCGCTCCTTTTCCCAGGCATTACACTCATGAAGGAGATCACAGTCATGCAGGTTACCATGCTATGCTCGCTTATGCATCTGTTCATTCCTGCCCATGCTCCTACAGAGGTGGCCATGACCTTGCAGCAGTTGCGTCGTCGGTGCGTACTGCTGGTGCTAGGCTTCCTTCCTCATGCTGCATGGTCCTTCGTCTGGAGGTTACGTACGTGGAATTATTTAGGTCATGTCTTGCGTCGGGATGCTGTATCTTCAGTTCATAGGGCACTGCTCCTGCTGAATTCTGCTCGTCGGCCTCGCGGTGGAGTCATCACATCACCCTTGTCGTGGCTGAAGACGGCAGTGAGTGCACAGTACCCTGAGATTTCAGATGTCAGCTTTGAATCTCTCATTGCCGTGGCAGCGACGCGTGATGTGTGGGCTTCTCGCGGCCGTGCCTACGCTGACAATTTGTCCCAGGCCGAGCGGCACTCCCTACTCCATGTCTCCGACAGCACATGGAAGAATTTCATTACTCCCTGGGTAGTTTGGAATCTCTCCTTGATCATGCTGTGGTCTCAAGATGGCTGGGTTTTGGCCTGGCTGGATGAGTGTGAAGGGTTTCAGCACTGGAGCTTGGGTCTGGAAGTGCACTCGACTTCGCTTATCACATGCATCCTACATCTGCGCATGGAACATGATTTCTTTAGCGTTCAGGTGTGGGTCTCACGCATACTCAGTATGACATGCATGCATGCATTTTGCATGCGGTGACGTTAGAGCTCTTTAAACTTCGGCAGATCATAGTTACATGTGAAATCATTCCGGATGCTTGGCCTGAGCGCACGAGTCGCTTACTCACTAAGTGATTGTGGTCAAGTGTTCGTCCTGGCGGAGTCGCAGCAGGCCAGTTGCAAAAGGGTTTAGGGTTTAGGGCAAGAAAGGGTCCCCTTCTCTAATGTAAAGTTGGACAAAGCGTTCTGGTCCGGATAACTTCAGTTGATGGTAAAAATCC